CACATGGCTACCTTGGCATGAGCCCTCTGGCGCACTTGGCCAGGCAGCGCTGCCCCCCAGAAGACGGGCTGCCCAGAGGGACTGATGGGGGGAGCCGGGCTGCGCTCTGACTGACAGGCCTCTTCCCCCCCGCCCAGGAGCTGCGGGAGCGTGTGCTGCGTGGCAAGTACCGTGTCCCTTTCTACATGTCCACGGACTGTGAAAACATCCTGAGGCGCTTCCTGGTGCTGAATCCTTCCAAACGCTGCACCCTGGAGGTGAGGGCACCCCGGCTCCATGGCAAGCCCCACGTGGCAATTTGCCATCCCTGGGCGGCTCCAGATGCTCCTTCCCCCCTTGTGGTCCCTTTGGGGCTGAAGGAGCACAGCTGGCACTGCCCATCCCCCATGCCAGTTTCCCGGGCACCCACAAGAAGCCGGGCCTTTAATTAGCAACCGTCTCCACGGGATCTGGCCTCCCCGCTGCTGAGCCTTCCTCCCCTGACTCCCCCCTCCCACCAATGATTGTAATTAGCCTAATTGACTCAAGGATAATTGCATGGTGTGTCAGGGAGGCACTGCGCCCCCACGCCCTCCCCTCCTGGCACAGCTCAGCGGGTGTTCCGGTTGGGCCTCCGCAGGCACCCTGGAGATTATTGGGGGGCTGTTTGTGCCTCCCCTGAAATGGAGAACCATGCTGGGAAAAAGGGTTGGGGGGGGTCTCTTGGGTGAAGAATTAAAGGTGCCTCTGAGCATGTGCTGAGGGCTGCAGGGACCGGTCTTTGCTCACCTGGGGGGCCCAGATAGCTCAGGTGGGAATTACAGGGGCTTGAAGCTCAGGGCACCAGGGGGAGGCATTGGGGGGACTGGGAGGAGCCCCAGCAGTTTGGCCCCCCATTAACGCTTCTCCCCCCCCCCAGCAAATAATGAAGGACAAGTGGATCAATATTGGCTACGAAGGGGACGAGCTGAAGCCTTACCGAGAACCCGAGGAGGATTTTGCGGATGCCAAGCGCATAGGTAGCCCCCCCGGGACCCTCCCCCTGACGAATGCGGCTGCTGCCTCCGCCTGAGCTCCTCCCCCCGTCCCAGGTTGAAGGCTCTGCCCCCAAGGCCCAGCTGCTCTCCTGGGCCCCGAGCGGAGTGGCAGTGGGGCAGCTGGGCAGCCCCCCCCGTCCCTGAGAGCAGTGGGGTCTCCGGGCCCCTGGGGGCCTTGGGCTGATCGCTGCCTCTGCTCCTCCCTCTCCAGAGGTCATGGTGGGCATGGGCTACACCCGGGAGGAGATCAAGGAAGCCTTGACCAACCAGAAGTACAACGAGGTCACAGCCACCTACCTGCTGCTGGGCAGGAAGAACGAGGTACAGACCTGTCAACCACCACCCCCCACTGGGGGAGGAGGGGGGCACCCTAGTGCAAAGCCACGGGGGGGGGGGCACATGCTTCAATCGTGCTCCGTTTCCCAGGAGTCTACAAGGGGCAGATTTTGGATTCCCCCGAGGACCCTGGGCGTGGGGGGGGAGGGTCCCTGGGTTCTGAGGAGCCGGACCTCCAGCTGGCCTAAGGAAGGAGCCCCCCCCCCCCGAGAGGGATGCAGCTGCCCCACCCCTGAGCGGCACTTGAGCGTGTCCTGCAGCAGCTTTGACGGGCCTGGCGATCTGCTCTGTCCAGCAGGTGGAAGGGGGGGAGTCGCGCACGGGCAGCAGCCTCTCGTTGGCCCGAGCACGGCCGCCCAGCGAGGCCTCCAACGGCACCAGCAAGTCCTCCTCGCACGCCAAGGGCCAACGGAGCTCCTCCACGTACCACCGGCAACGGCGGCACAGCGATTTCTGTAAGTGGCCGGGGGGGAGGGAGGGGGGCTGCCGCCTCTGGAGCCCTGGGGGCCACTCTTGGGGTCTGGTATGACCCCCCCCCCCAGCACACTGCCTGGAGGGCCCTCTGAGGCCCCGGCCCTCCCCTTAGCTTCGTCCCCCGAATCCTGCAACGGTCCAAGAGCTCATGGGGAGGCGGCTGTGGTGCGTGAAGCGGAGGCCGCTTTGAGTCCTGGTGCAGGCAGGGGGTTGGCCTGATGGCCTCAAGGAGTCCCCTGAGCCCTCTGAGTCCCGCAGCTCTGCAGCTCTCCTTCCAGAGGCTTGAGGGGCCTCCAAGAGGGATGAGATGAGGGACGTAGTATAGGTGGTCCTTGACTTATCACCACAACTGAGCCCAAAGTTTCTCCTGCCAAACGAGACAGTTATCGAGTTTTCTCCCACTTTATGACCTTTCTTGCCACAGTCGTTAACTGAATCACTGCAGTTGTTAAGTTAGCCACACGGTTGTTAAGTGAATCCGGCTTCCCCATTGACGTCGCTTGTCGGGTGGTCGCAAAAGGGGATCACGTGACCCCGGGACACTGCGACCGTCATAAATGTGAGCCACCAGAGCATGAATGGATGCTTTCGTGGTCATAAGTGTGAAACGCCAGTCCCAAGTCCCTTTTGTTCTGTGTGGTCGCTAAATGGACTGTTGTCCATTGGGGGCTCCCTGTGGATGGAGGGGCCTCTTCTGCCTTTTCCCCTCAGGCTCCTCGGATGCCGCCCTCTCTGAAAGTGCCCCCTTGCCCCCCCAGGTGGCCCTTCCCCCGCCCCCCAGCACCCCAAGCGGAGCCCCACCAGCACCGGGGACGGGGAGCTGAAGGAGGAGCGGATGCCCTCGCGCAAGGCCAGCTGCAGCGTGGTGAGCAGCGGCCGGGGGGGCCTCCCGCCCTCCAGCCCCATGGTGAGCAGCGCGAACAACCCCAACAAATCGGAGATCCCCGACCGGCGCAAGGACAGCGCGGTCAACACGGTGAGGGGGCGGGAGGGGGGCTGGCGGGCTCCTCCCTCCCTCGGCACAAGCCCTCCTTCCGTGGTGGCTGCTGGGCACCCGTGCCAGGGCCTTCCCTGCCAGCACCAAGGAGCTCCCCTTACACGTCGGGGAACGCGGGACGGAGCTTGAAAGGGCACTGGGCTGTTTCGGGGCACTGCCCAGGTCCTTCCGTGCCCAGGAGTCCCGGAGCCAGGCCACAAAGGGGCTCCCAGCCGAGCCTCCCAAATTCTGGTCCCGCTTCCTGTGTCCAAGCAGAGCCTGGCAAAGGGGGGCTTGGGTGAGGAGGTGCCCCTGGGTGTCACAATCCCCGATACAACTATGAAGAGACCGAGGGAGCTGAAAGGGACCTGGGAGGTCTTCTAGTCCAACCCTCCGCTCACAGACGAGCGTCTCTCCAGCCTCTTCTTCAAAGCCTCCAGTGATGGAAAACCCAGAACTTCCGGAGGCAAATTGTTCTTCCTCCTTGGTCCCAGTCGCTTCTCCCCTTCGTGAGTTTCCATCCGTTGGTTCTCGTCCTGGGCTTTGGAGGATAGGTTGCCCCCCCCCCCCTCCGCTTCTTTGTGGCAGCCCCTCAAATATTGGATCCCTGCTTTCATGCCGCCCCTCGTCCTCCTTTCCTGTGGACGGGCATCGCCAATTCAGAACTAAGGAGGGATTTCCTAACAGTGAGAACAATTAGCCTGTGGAACTCCTTGCCTCCAGAAGTTGTGAGTTTCCCGTCACTGGAAGTTTTCAAGGGGAGATTGAACCCTGTCTGGAAAGGCAAAGGGTCTCCTGCTTGAGCAGGGGGGTTGACTAGAGGACCTCCAAGGCCCCTTCCGGCTCTGCTCCTCTGTTAATTCTCTTAATGCCCAACTTGCCAAAGTCCTGGATGCTGAGAATGTGATGCCGCTGAGCCCATCCCGTCCCCCTGATTCTGACCTCCTGGCCCCCAGCACCGGCCTCTGAGCTGGCCGTCTCCCCTCCCCTTTCAGAACAACATCCCCTCCAGTATGATGACCCGGAGGAACACTTACGTCTGCACGGAGAGGCCTGGGGGCGACCGCCACTCCCTGCTCCAGAACGGGAAGGAGAACAGGTGGGCTTTGGGTGGGGA